GTTGTACATCGCATTCTGTGCCCTACCAATTGCTGATTGACTATCACAATAGATACATATAGCAAGCACAAGTTTTATATCCAACATGGAATATCTTCTAGAAAGTTTCGTACCCATTCGACTTCTTTTCCAGCTTTGTCTAACGCAATAAATTTGAATTCCATCGTTGATCTAGCTATACATGTTTGTTTTGAAGATTTCCATGATACTACAGCACCTTCAAGTGTAAAAATATATCCACTTGTTGACTTGGAGTCTTTAGTATCTAATATTCAATTTGTATCACAATATCCTTCAAGTACAGCTGGATATCTTGAATATTGCAATCCAAAGTTTTTGGTATGTTTTAAATACCCTAAAACTCTAACAATTGCCTTCCAATGATCAGTGCTTGGATTGCTCGTATATCGACTTAGTCTACTAATGGAATAAGCAATATCAGGTCGTGTGTAGTTCATGACATACATTAAACTGTCAATAATACGAGAATATTTCAATTGACACATACGATCACTAGTATTAGAAACAAGATGCATACTAACATCCATAGGTGTTTTCATAGGGATAATATCATATTTCTTGAATTTATTAAGAATCTGCTCAATGTAGTGTGATTGAGACAATATGAGGCCATCGGATATTCTAGAAATTTTAATTCCTAATATAATATCGGCCACACCTAAATCCTTCATTTCAAATTTATTTGTTAGCAATCCTTTTTGTAGTTTGAATTATGGTATCATTGTTACCCATAATTAACATGTCATTTACGTATAAACATACCATGACGTAACCATTTTCAGTGTTCCTAATATAAACACATTTGTCATACTCGTTAATTTTGAAACCATTTGACATCATAATCGTGTCAAATTTTTCATGCAATTTCTTAGGAGTTTGCTTTAATCCATAAAGTGATTTAACAAGTCGACATACTTTCTTTTCTTGTCCTGAGGCCACAAATCTTTCAGGTTGCTCCATATAGATTCTTCATCTAATTCACCATTCAAGAAAACTATTTTAACATCCATTTGATATATATTCAAACCATTCAACTCTGCTATCGCAATAAGCATACGTATGGAAGTGATTCTTGTCACAGGAGAATAAGTATTGAAATAATCAAGACCTTGTTTTTGCTTTCGCGACAAGTCTAGCCTTAAATTTGTCAATTGATCCATCTACTTTCATTTTCCTTTTGAAAATTCATTTACATCACAAAGGCTTATTACCGGGCGGAAGGTCTACTAATTTCCATGTATTATTTTGTAGTATGGATTCAATTTCACTATGAATAGCTTCTTTCCAATATGAATCTTCGATCGATGACACCTTTTTAAAACTTTGAGGTTCATTTTCTAACAAATATGTTAGAAAGTCAGGCTCAAAGGAGGTTGACGTCATAGCCCTCTTACTACGTCTAAGTTGTTCATTTATAGATTCTTGATCTATAACTTCTTCACTTTCACGAGATCTCTTTTATGAATTTGATTCATTTTGAATGTTATAAGGAAAAACATTTTCGAAAAATGTACCATCCCTTGACTCAATAATTGTATTAACATGCATATCAGGTATTTCAGACTTCTGTACAAGAAATCTACATGCATTACTGTGATAAGCATAGCCAATGAATACACAATCAATGGTTTTAAGTCATATCTTAACCCTTTTAGGTTTAGGAACTGCTACATTAGCTAAACAACCCCATACCTTCAAGTATTTATAATTAGGTTTGTGATATTTCCAAACTTCATAAGGTATTTTATGCATTTTTCGATGTGATAATTTGTTAAGAATATAATTGGTAGAAAGCAAGGCTTCCCTCCACAAGTTCTGTGGTAATCCAGAACTTATTAACATAACATTCATAATCTCATTCGATATTCGATTCTTGCGTTCAACAATACCATTGGATTGAGGAGAATAAGGCACGGTAGCTTGATAAATAATTCCATGTTCTGAACAGAATTGTTCAAATGGAGAATCATATTCACCACATCTGTCACTTCTTATGGCCTTAATCTTTTTATTAAGGTGATTTCAACTTCTAACTTGTAGTGTTTAAATACTTCAATTGCTTCGTCTTTGCTTTTGAGTAAATACATATAGTAATATCAAGTACAATCGTAGATAAAAGTGATAAAGTATTTATTACCTTCTCTAGTTTGAACAAACTTTAAATCACATATGTCAGTGTGAATTAAATCTAGGGGTTTGGTACTTCTTTCAACCGAATGAAAGGATAAATGTTCCATTTTAGCTTCTACACATATATCGCATTTGTAATTAGGATTTAAATCGCACTTTGATAATAAATCTAATTTGATTAGTCTACGCAAAGTATTATAATTTACATGTCACAATCGTTCATGTCAAATATTAAATGACTCAAGTAAGTAAGAAGAAGATGTAATTTTATTTACAATCAGAGGTACAACGGTCATTACATTCAACTTAGAGAGTCCCTCATTTAAGTAGCCATTTCCTACAAAACATTTCATTCTTTGTAAGTACAAATTTATAATCGTTCATGCAAAATATTAAATGACTCAAGCAAGTAAGAAGAAGATGTAATTTTATTCATAATCGGAGGTACAACAGTCATTACATTCAACATAAAGAGCCCCTCATTCAAGTAGCCCTTTCCTACAAACATTTCATTCTTTGTAAGTACAAACTTATCTAAAATGAATACTATCTCAAACCCGTTCTTGCTTAATAAGGAACCAGATACCAAATTCTTTCAAATATCTGGCACATGAAGAACGTCATTCAAAGTGAGCTCATTTCCACTTGTAATTTTTAGCACTATCTTTCCATATCCTTCTACCTTGGAAGATGAAGAGTTTCCCATGTAGAGGTATTCATCATGATCCATCGTTTTGTAGGTAGAGAACATCCCACGGTTTGAGCATATATGACGAGTAGCTCCAGTATCCACCCAGCATTCCTTAATGTTTCCAACTAAGCTGCATTCAGAGACGACCGTAGAAAAATTTATATCTTGTACTTTATCGGAGATGTTGTCATCTTCCGTTACATTGCCCTGATGAGTTTTTCCTTTGACATTCTTTGGCTTTCGACAGTCCTTGAATTGATGTCCTGCCTTGTCACAATTATAACAGTTACCTTTGAACTTTTTAGCAATTTTTGAAGAACCAATTTGTCCTTCTCCATTATGCTTCCTCTTTTTGCTTGTCTTTAAACCTCCTTCTACAATGTTGGCTTTCGATTCCATAGCATAAGATGCACCACTCATTTTTTCAGATTTACGATTGTCTTCTTCAATTTTCAACCAAACAATGATATCTTCAAGTTTCATTTCCTTTCGCTTATACTTTAGACAATTCTTGAAGTCTTTTCAGAAAGGCGGTAATTTCTCAATCAGTGCAGCAACTTGAAATGATTCACTTAGTTTCATTCCTTCGGTATGGATGTCGCTAAGTATGATTTGAAGTTCTTGAACTTGGGATATAACAGTCTTGCTGTCAACCATTTTATAATCCAAAAAATGATCGACAATGAATTTTTTCATGCCGACAACTTCAGTTTTGTACTTCGTGTCCAAAGATTCCCATAGTTCTTTTACAGACTTCGCATTGCAGTACACATTATATAATGTGTTATTCAATCCATTGAGTACATAATTTCTGTATAGAAAATCAGAATGCTTCCATGCATCAACTGCAGTCAATTTCTCAACATCACTGTCTTGCTCAGTGTATGAAAGTGCATCTTCTTTGAGAAATTTTGTCAAATTTAATGTTGTCAGATAAAAAAACATTTTCTATTACCAGCGCTTGAAATCTGACCCATTAAATTTCTCGGGTTTTTCCCTGGTCGTATTTGGGAGTGTAGTACATGAAATTGCCATTTCTAAAACACAATCAGAAGATAGACAATAAGAAGGGATAGAAACAGAATAAACCAAAAAAAATTCATTTTAAGATTGTTGTTTCTGGAGTATAAGTTTCTTCTTTGAAATAATCCAATAGAATTATATTACGTAATTTTGAACAGCGTAAAAATACGATCAATAGGATCAGAAAAGTTAATTGGAGCCCACCGACTTCACGATATTTTCTTAAAACGAATTTGCTGCCTTCAACGGTACTAAAGGCGTCCAGCAATCGTTTCTCAGGATAGAACGAATTTCGTCTCTTACGGAAGCAGCACAACAATCTGCAGGAGTTCCAACGAACACAACAAAGTGTTTTAACTCTGAAAATAATATCAGAACGAGAGAGAGGGAGGATGATATTCAATGCAGATAATATTTGCAATGAAAATGGTGTAATTTTTTCTGACAGTGGGGTAGGCTATTTATAAACTTGTTCGTGGTCATTCGAACATCCTCCCGAACAGTCGTCACTATTCAGGCAGCCTTTAAAACTCGAACAGACATGTTGGTTCGATATTGTGTCGATTTAGTCGATTAATAGTCGACTGTTTAGACGGTTAACAGTCGATTGTTTGATTGGTTAACAGACGACTGTTTAACAGACCATCCACACAAGAAAAATTACCCGAAAATAAGCCAAAATTAATTTCATTATGTACCCGAGAATTTGATTATTTACAATTTGGTCCAAAAAATTCAAACAAATTTTGTCCAAAAGAATTAATATAGCCCAAGGACCCACCCTTGCCGAGCCTGTCGGACAGACGACGATGGCGCGCACGTGTGAATTTATGACCAAACCCAATAGGATATAAGCTTCCCCCTTCCAAAGACTATTGGTACCACTAGGAGCCCAAACCCAATTCTCAAACTTTCACCATTTAAACTACACCAAAGTTTCCTAACTTTCCTATGTGGGATAAGTGTTTGGCAAATCAAATTCTTCCATAATTTATAGTTTCAAGTGTGTTACTTTGACATTCAATAATTCATTCAATTCTAAATGGTTTTCGACAAATAAATATATCACGTTAATCATCTCGCGAAGTAGAATGTGAATACGCTAGGTCCTGAATTAATTAAAATGTGTGTCCCACTGAAATTTGGGCTCGAAGTTGACCCATTTTAATAGCCATTTTCCAACAAATTCATTACAAGTCAGAGCAAAAATAAGTTAATATTTTAGTAAATAAGCTGCTGCATCAATTCTGAGGCCATAGAGTAGGAGATATCTTCTGATAAAGGCCAATGTCCATGCCATTGTAAGCAATAGGGGCATACATCCACAGATCATCAGAGCTTAATAACTGCAAAGAAGTACAAATTTGGATTAGTAGGCTTATCCTTGTAATTAGACTTCTAAACATAATTATTAATTTATTTCAGTAGTATATAGTTAATGGATTAAAAAAGACAAATAAGCTAAAATCTTTTCTGTTGTTCAGTTGTGTGGAGATAAAGAAAGATGACGAGTAATACATTTTAACCCATACCTTAATTTGATGTTGTAAAAACTTCACATAATGGACTGCCTCTTCGAGCATTGTGCTAATGTCAACCTGATAATTCCATTTTACAACTCAGTATTCCGAAATTTGAAGTTTCCCTTGATTCTAGGAAAACATTAATTTGGTAGGATTGATTAGTATTAGTCAATGTTTTACCTTTGTTCCATTTGGGACAATGTTCTGCAAGATTTTCAATCTCTCATTAATCCTTTCTCTTCTTTTCTGCAAAATTCGATAAAATGATATCAGAAAACCTCGAATGACTCCTTAAAAATGTATTTAACCTTGAATCTTGCTACTGTGCCTGAGAGGTTGATATAATCCTTGACATGATATTTCATGGCATTTTATTATTGGGCTGAAAACACGGTCAACTTTTCCATCCAATCATACCTTGCCAAGATCCATTATGTCAAAGCATCTATTAACATCTTTCTGGCAAAGTAGCATTATTCGTATAACCTTATTGTGATCATATCAAATTTTTACATACCCTTGCATAAAGGCTTTGTGGATCAGTTGCAGAACCCCTGCTGGCTCTTGTTTTTTCAGTTGAATTCAGACTGCCCGAGCCTTTGGATTCTTGAGAACCGTTGAAGTCATCCTCAGGGTTGCAACTATTGGAACTCAGGCCACTTCCTCTGCCATTAGTCTCTTCTAATGCGTCGTTGCTATTTCGAGTAACTTTCTTGTTCTTCTTGGACTGGACCATCCTTGATGCCTGCACTCATTGATTTAATTAATCCATTAGAGATGATATAAAAACATAAGAAGAAAATTTAAACAATGTTGAATTCATTCTACTCACATCTCTAGAAACCCTATATTTTTTCTTAGGACTTTCAGATGAATTTTCCTCCATATTTTGCTCAGGAGTATCAGATTTCCTCTTGAACTGCATCGTCTTGCCAGAATCATCAATGTCTGCATTGCCTATTTTGCCACTGCCCAACTTGTCTTCCATCACATGATTATCAGAACAATTATCATACGTGTCACTTATTACACGATCAGGGAAATTAGAAAAAAATTCTTGACCAGGGAAAAGGACATTGTCAATTTCAGTGCTGCTATTGCTACTTTCTTGAGAAACATAGAAAAAATTTGTAGTGCTGTCAAGAGTATCAGAGGGAAAGAATACAGAATCCTCAACTCCAGCAGCCACATTTTCTTCTGTTTGAGTCAAGAAGCTCAACCCGTTTATGACTTGATTCGAAAACAAGTGGAAATGCAGCATGAAATCAGAATCTTCACTGGAAAACATTCTGCTCAGTGATTCCCATTCTTCATCTAGAAAGGTTCCAACAGGCTCCATTTTTTCTTCTTTTTCTTTTGGTAATTCTTTTAAGAAAAAGAAGATTGAGAAGAAATGTTTTCTTCTTGTTCTAAAAATAGTGAAGCTAATACCCGCTTGGAATTGCAGAAATTTCTGTGGCATATTTATACCCAATGGAGGAATGATATAATATAATAGTGATTGACTTTTTAATAAATATTTAATATACTAAATTATATTTTAATGGAGTGGTCCTAATACTCTGTAACCATACCAAACGAAAACCTGTACAGCTCATTAGGGAGACTAAAATACAAGCAATTAAAGCTTTAAAAAATTTCTGTCTTGGTATGGGCCTAAACCACCTTAGAATTAATTAGAAAATGTTAACTGTCTTCTCTAATCATTTGATTGTGACTTCAACTGATTCATGAATGTTAAATGTTTGTTGAATGAGAGTGACAGTGAAAAAAATTAAAGAAACTTGTAACTGGGAATGGGAGAAAATGGAATTACTTTTAAAATATTATAATGTTAAGAAACTCTTTTGAGGGATAAAGAAATTAAATTATTGAATCAAAAGACTGCCATGATCGTGGAGATGAGTATGACATTGTCTAAACAAGTTAGAAATCGGACATGGTAACCGTGAAACTTGGTCCTTGTCCCATATATTGCTTGATTAAAAGCCTACAAATTGTTTTCTTTCAATCACTCGAATTAAGTCGTAGGACGAAATTTTAACATAGTGCAAATGAAAAAATTATCCAGTTTGGTAAAGAAAGTACAATGAATATTCATCGTCACCATATGTAACATCAAGTGTTTTTTCAACTTCTGATCACTTTCGAAGAACTCACTGCCTGAAGGAGATTGGGTAAAATTATGACCATTACCTCACATTTTGAAAGTTCATAGCATCCTTATAGTCTTCATTAATATATCGAGCATCCAAGCAAATTCTTTTATCCTCGAGTAGAAATGTTTAATTCCTACCATGAATCAATAAACTCCATTAAAGTCATGAAAGCACAAACGCATGCCGCTCAAATGCACATGACATTGCTTTCCTACCGGCCTCTATGCTCAATAAATTGAATGTAGCTGATAGGTCCTCCTCCATGCTAATCAAGTACCCTCCAAGTCTCGTACAACCATATTAACTACAATTTTTTCTTTCACTTTATTTGTTCACTTACTCGAACTTAGCTACTCGAATCTTCTTTATCCATCTTCTCCAAAAAGGGAGATCCCAACTAAACCATGTACCAAGTCTTCTGTGGCATCCTTAACTAGAATCCTTATGCCATATAAACTTACTTATAGTGTAGTTACTAGTTACTATGTTGGTAGTGGTGGTGTCATTTAGGGTTGAACTCCTACTTTGATGTATAAAGATTTTCTTCTAAGGATCACAAGGTGCAAAAGTGGCAGGATAGGAAACCCGGGGAGTGGTGACTATTTGGACTCACTTGACTAAATAAATAATAATAATAATAATAATAATGATAATAACAAAAAAAATACCAAAAAAAAAAAAAAAAAAAACCCAGGCTTGCCAAGTTAGGACAAAGAGAGCTCCATCCATTTACATATTGAAAGCCAAATATAAGTTATTTCAAACTTGGTTTGATTACTTGCCAAAGTTTCTATTGTATTTTAACACGATCTCTTGAAATTTATAATGTGGCTTCTTTCAAACAAATATCCTATTTAGCCTTCATTTGGAAATAATTATAAATGATTCAATTTATAAATGGATAGAATAAATGATACATAAGTGACACTAGTTCGTTTCATCTAAATTTGTGATTGAAAATGAAATTTGATAATTTATAAATGATTTATAATTTTTTTCGAAGAAAAGCACTAATAAAGTTACAAATGACTGTAAAAAAAAGTCAACAACTAGAAGATAAAACCATTATCTAAATAAACTAGCCAAAATAACGAATCATTGCATTTCTTTATACATCCAATATCAAAGAAAACTTTCTTAATGTGATTATCTTCATCATATATATACATCAATTTTGATATTATAATTTTTATTACATATCCAAATGCATAAGAGCATCTTTAATACAACCATGGATAGATTAAAATTTTTTCCATGTAAGTAATAATAGATGATGTTTGCAAAAATAACCTTCTTCGATGCACGTGACAAGAATCTGTCAGGCTGAAACGACAGAAAAATAGATAAGGTTTAGAGCTCTATTAGCCCCCCTTTGAGCCCCATTATTTGTAGATTATAATGAGATGAATAGTATTTTTTTGAAAAATGAGTGGTTGAAAATTTTTTGATTTACGTGTAATATTATTTTATTGAAGATTGTGTGGTTAAAAGTAGGAGAGAGAAAAATTTACTTTAATGTAATGAGAAATAATGGGACTCAATTTTTTTTTGATAACCCAGGTGTCCCAGCTTAGCCGGACTAAATCCTGGACCTCTAGCCCCCGGCCCCTCAGTGACTAGTGGAGGTAAATCGCAGGTTGTGCCCTTGTTGGTTCCCAGGTTCCCACATGGCTTTTACTCCTTCCCCAAAGGGACCCTCCTCCATGGTTATTACATCACCAAGCTGCTCCAACCCTTCCTCTGGTTATTACATCACTTGGCTGCTCCAACCAGGAATCGAACTCCCCACACTTAGTTCCAGAGCCCCCCAATATGATTGTTCCGCCAACTTGGATGTGCCCTGGGGGGCTGATACATGTTAATCTCTTATGCAGAATACGTTGGAAATGCTTTAAGCTTTCAGTATATGGACTAGAACTAATTAAGGTCATGTTTGAGCCCCCATTATTTTGACAAAATACGTTTTTCAACAGTGATTTAATATCATTTTAACCACACATTCTTCAATAAAATAATATTACACACAAATTTAAAACTTTTTCTTATTTTTTAACCACACACTCTCCATCAATATACTATTCCAAAATACATTCTTAAAAAATAACGTGGCTCAAACACACATTAAATTTCAATACACATATTTCATAAGATTCATAGCTTTTTAACCACATATGTTATCAACTTTTATCAAAGTATACTAAAAATCTAGCCCTTGTTTGACAACCATTTTTACAATCATTTTTTATTAAATTCATTTTCAACTACACATTCTCACAATAAAATATTTTATATGTAAACCAAAATTTTTTCCTACATAGAGGCTAATACTAATCCCGCCAAACAGGGGCATAAAATTTATTACATGTTAATCTCTTCTTGGCATGACAACATCTTCTAATTTTTTAAAATTAAATTGCCATGTTTTTAACCTAACGAATAAGCAAAGTACAGAATTTCGATGATACTCGGTTTAATTTCCAGCTAAATGTGCAATAATTTTCCCATCTCTAGATGGGAAACCCTCAAAAATTACACTTACATGTGAGCTACTAATACACAAGATCATATGAAGAATATAGTGTCTTCTTGCCCATAATCCCTTTCTCAGTATCTTCTAACTTCTTTTGTATAGCTTTTAATAGGAATTTACAAAGAGTTATTCTCAGACGTGCATAAAAATCGATCCTGCCTGGTGGGAATCACAATATTCCAGCTGTGATATCTTGGTTTTAGGGTTAATTAGATCGTGTAATAATCTTTATTAATAAACACTGTAAAGTTTAAATCCCATAAAATTTTGGGGTGACAAGCGATTTATGAACAGATTACCTGAACTTAGTCATTAGCTGCAAATTTCAACCTTTTATTCCGCCGTTGGTCACGCTTCACGCTTACGCGTCATATTAAGAGACTGTTCTATTAATATGATTTTATATTTACAGAATCAGAAGAATTTTATCTTCCGTGTGACAGCTTTGCTCCAGAATTCACTTTAATTTTAGAACATGTCGACCATTTTAGTAACTTATGTATAAAATTAAATAATATAATATTGTTAGTGCGGAAACGAAGTGTTGAAGAAAAACTTGAATTTTTATTGATAATTTTTGAGTTGCTACAGCATACTCAATAATGTTTTCTTCTTTTTTTTTCCTTACAATGAGACTACAAGAATGACCTCTATTTATAAGACCACATGGATAACTCTAGAGACATGGGAATATAAATGGACACCTAATAATTCATGAATTTGCATCATGTATTTTCTTGATACATTTTCTTCAAGTGTATGTAACCTTATTTATTTCCTAAGATTACAAATTAATGCCACATTTAACACCCCCTCTTAATTTGTAATCTTGAGTTTTTCCTTGATCTTGTCGAACTTGTCAAATGTGACTGCCTTTGTTAAAATGTCTGCTGGCTGATCATTTGTGTTGATAAATTCCATGCAAATTTCTTCTCAACTTACCAAATCTCGAATGAAGTGATGACGTAGTTCAATATGCTTCGATCTGCATGAAAACTGGATTTTTTGTCATAGCAATTGCTGACATATTGTCGCAATGTATTGTTGTTGGCTCTTGTTGTTCAAACATCAAGTCTTTTAGAATTCTTCTAAGCCAAACTGCTTCACAAGCGGCATCCGCAGCTGCAATGTATTCCGCTTCTGCAGAAGATAGTGCTATAGACCTTTCCTTCCTCGAACTACATGAAATAATATTTGTTCCAAGACAAAAGATGTAGCCCGATGTACTTTTGCGGTCAACAAGTGAGCCTGCCCAATCACTGTCAGTGTAGCCAACAAGGTTGAAGTTATTTTCCTTTTTGAACTCAATGCCTTGATTTTTTGTACCTTTAAGGTATCTCAAAATTCTTTTTGCCGCCGTAAAGTGATTCTTGCTTGGTTCATTCATGAACCTAGAAAGTAAACTCACTGATTGAGTGATCATTGACTTGGAATTTTTCATTCGGCCCCATTGGAGTAGAGACTGGCTTGCACTGGTTCATGCTGTATTTTTCTAGAAGATCATCACTATACTTCTCTTGAGATAAAAAAATTCTTCCCGGGCTTTGTTTGACTTGGATGCCAAGAAAGTATTTCATTTGACCCAAGTCACTCATCTCAAAGTCTCTCATCATCTTTTTCTTGAATTCTTCCACCATGCTTTTACTTGTA